TTTCACGGAGGCACTTGGTGCCTAGACCTCAGCCCCTCCCAGGCACCGGGAATGCCGTCCTGAGTTGTTCTGGTTTAGCACCAGACTGAGTCCTAACCCGTGGGAGGCAAGCAGGAGGGTGGGCACCGCACAGGGGAGGGAAGTGCCTGCTCCAGGCAAGGGCCCCAGACCCATGCTTGGATCCAGCTCCACTGACGGAGTCAGAGGCCCTGGGGAGGGCCCTCGCTCTAGCCTCACCAGGCCCCGTTTCCATCCAGGTCCTCGTGCACAGATCTGGGGCGGTGTTCACCTGTTTGCTCTGGGGCAGCAGGCCACTGAAAACGGGTCGAGTGTACCACACCATGATGGGCAACACTGTGACCCCGGAGTGCCCATGTCCTGTGCCGTCACACTGCCCCCAAGACGTGTGGGTTCATATTGATTCCCTCCTCACTGGTCCTCCAGGCCACCTCCTGCCCCAGAACTGGTAAGAATAAATATTCAAGGGATGGCAGCGGTGACCCACTTATTAGCAGATGCCACAGCCCTGGGGCACAGTGGCTGATGTTGAAAGTACAGAGACCATGGCAGGGGAGGGAATGTCCTTGGGAAGAGGTGCTTACTTTCAATCCTACATGAATAACCAGTGAAGTCCACTTCTCCGTCTGGGAGCAAGGGCGTCAAGGAGAGGGCGCAGCACAGTCACAGGTGGGCGCACAGACACAGAGCACTCAGCAGAGGCCACATCAGGCATCAGTGCCCCAACCCCTGGCAAATGTCGGGCTCTGAGACTGGCACACAGATGCTGCCACCCCCAACCTCTGTGTGCAGATAGCACCAACCTGCATGTGCCGCGGGCACCAAGACTGCTTTACAGGGCAAGAGGACCCCGAAAGAGCCCCAAGGGCCAGGCTGAGGGCTTTAGCTCTGGGATCCAGAGGAAGCCACCGTCTCCCGAGCCTCAGTGTTCCCACTGTGCAAGGAAATGATGCCACACCCTGGGTGGCTGGGAAGCCTGAATCAGAAATGCCACGTCACTGGTGGTTACCACGAGCCCAGGTAGGACTAGTCATCATGGCGGGCTACTCCCGTCTCCACCCCTTTAGGAAGAGGATATTTTCTTGAGTAGTACTATTTTAGGAAGAAACCATGCGGTTCACAAGGGGGGCTGCATGCTGTTTGGAATTTTGTAGCCAAAGGCCAGTATTGCAGCTTGAGTCAGAGCCAAGGGGAAGCAGAAAACATGGTCTTTGGGCCCTTCACCAAGGGCCATCTTCCCTGCTGCCCTGTGCCTGAATCTCAGGGTGGCCTATACCTATAGGAAGAAGCTGGTGGGCAGGACTCTCCCACGCCCTACCCCTCTTCTCTAAGGGGCTGCCAGAGGGAGCCTGGGAAAGATGCCCTCCATCTGCAGAGGTGGCAGGGCACCTGCTAGGCACTTACAGGCTGCACCCCCTTCTAAGTCACCTGTGTCCAGAGGTGGACCTCACAGTTCCTGAGTTCAAGGCAGGAGAGCAAACCAGGATGACCTTGTCCTGCCCCAAGGTGGCCAACAAGGGACCTCCTGCTCAATAGGGCCAGTTTGTGGCCGGGTCTCCAGCCAGGATAAGCTCTGCTCTGCCATCTGCGCTCGCAGCTCTGCTGGGCTAGAGCCGGCTGGGCTGCCTGTGAAGGGCAGCCCTGCCCACCTGTAAGTGGTGGATGCCACCAGCTTTCTCCAAAGGTGAGAAGCTGTCAGCACACAGGGAGCCCCTGGGACCCCTGTGTGCTTCCTTCTGACACTCTAGGAGGAGGGATGGAATCTGGGCTAGGGGTGGAACGGCAGGCTGGGAGGTCTGTGGGAATAAGGAAGCATAACAGGAGTGCTGGCAGCGCCCTGACCCCAGGGGACAGCAACACGTCAGGCCTGAGTTCTGGGTGGACCCTGCACACACTCCTACCACCACACCAGGGGTCCCTGGCTTCTGGGCACCATGGCTGAGGAAGGAACACAATGCCAGTCCTGACTCTGTTCCCATCAGAGCTGGATGGCCCCGCAGAAAGAGCCTAAGGTGCTCCCAGCCTGGGGCGGGGTTGCCTGTGCAAGAGCTCAGGCTCTGAACCTCCCATTCCTTCCTTTTTTTTTTTTAAGAACTTAAAAAAATTTTTTTTGTAGTTGTAAATGGGCAGAATGCCTTTATTTTATTTGTTTATTATATGTGGTGCTGAGGATCAAACCCAGTGCCTCACGCAGGCTAGGCAAGTGCTCTACCACTGAGCCCCAGCCCCAGCCCTCCCATTACTTTCTTTGGAGGAGAGGATGGGTGAGTGCTGGGGGCCTGAGAACCCAAGGGCAGCTGAAAGCAGGTCCTGAAACCCTTGGGTATAATAACAGGGCCCAGCTTACTGTGACTCGGAACCCTCCACCCCACAGCATCCTGCTCCGTGGCTACTGCAGGGAAGGAAAGGATGAACTGATTCCTACCAGCTGCACTGGGAATCTTGGGATGCAGAAGGGGGTCCATGGTGCAAACACAGGAAGTAGAAATTTCCACTTGTTAAGGTCAAGAGCTCTGGGAGGCAACTAGTAGCTGCTGGTGGAGAAAACTCCCTTCCTGAAGAGCCTGGCCTCAGGGACACTTCTTATCCCAGGTAGTCTCGTCTGTGTGCTCCTGGAGACTGGAGAGATGGCTTCCAGGGGACTTTCTGAAAACTAAGCTACAATACAAGCCTGTATCTTCATCTCACAGAGCATACTGTCCCAGGATAGCAATGAAGAAGGGGTCATTTAAAATATGCAGATGTGGCAGGGGTATATTACCAGAGACAGAGATGACTGTGTGGGAGGAGGGTGTTTTAAGTCTACCCCCTAGCTGCCCTGTCCAGCATTTTTGGCTAGCGGAAAAATCAGAACCAGTTGGCGGAGAGAGGCATGGTGGAGTTCCAAAAGGGATGGCCGATCTGAGTGTGAGTGACCAAGGGCAAGGAAAGAAAGGATGGCTTTCCTCCTCCCAGGACCCAAAGAGGTCACTTGCTAGAATCCAGCTGCCCTGCCCTCATCACCTACAGGAGGGCTCGGGTCTGAGGAAGGAAACCCACACCTCTGACACACCCCATTCCCAACTTTTCACCAAGGGAGAGAGGAGCTTCAGAGAGATGTAGGCACCAGCACTTGGGGTCAGAAGGCTCTGCTGTTCTGTAGGACCACGGACCCTGAAGTCACACGCAAAGCTGTAAAGCAACTTCCCAGACTACCCCAGGCCCTCTGCCTCAAGTTCCTTAGAGCCAGAGAGAGAGTGTGGGGCAACAGGGGCGACGGGGCCAACAGCCCTGGGAACAGGCTCCTGGGGGGTCACAAGTCTTTACACTGGGACCTGCACCTTGGCATCCCAGCTCTGGAGCATCCGCAGGCACTAGGACAATTAGCTTTATGAGTTATAAGTGCAATATCTGGGAGACGACGGCAGTAATTAATGCTTGTCTGCTTTCCTGAGGGCTTCCTCCTATGCAGTCAGAGTTATTGAGACTCAGTGAGGGAGCTTCCATCATGTAGGAGGTTCACAGGAACGATTTAACAAGGCAATAATAACGCTTCTAAATAATTCACCAAGCAAACGGCAGCAGCTCTCCCAGACACTAACAGAGCTCCGTGTCCATTTTGCCGTGGGGGAGTGCGCTGGGCCGGGTCTGCAGACTCCAGCAGCTTCCCAGTAAAGACCCACCTCAGCTGCTGCCACTCCTCCTGGAGCCCCTGGAGCCCCTGAAGCCCTTCCTCCACCCCTCCCCTGCCCACATGCAGAGGGAGGGGAGATCCAGAAGGACCTCACACACACTCATACCTTAGCTGATCTTGTTAATCACGAGGTGCTGCAATGCTAAGAGGTTAACAAGTCCTCGGTTGGGCCTCCAGTGACTTGGCCCTACACCCTCAGGGCCCAGACAATTAAACTTGCCACCAGATTCCCACCAGACCTGTCATGGGAGAATCAAAGACAATTCTACTGCAAGACAAATTCCAAGGCACAGCTGAATGTGCAAGAGAAGCAGCACAGACCACTGACCCACTGCTCCAGAAACACAGAGGCAAGCAAACCTCTCCCATGGCTTAGGGGCAGGCCCCTTCAGCAGGTCTACAGGGCAGGGCAGGGAAGGCACTTGGGATGAACAAGATCAGACCCAAATAACACTGTTGCAAGTCCTGAGGACACCTTGCCAGGATAGGAGTAATTAAGTCAAAAGGCCACCGCTAGAATGGCCCAGCTTGCTCCTGGCCTCTTCTTCCCCTCCAAACCAGCTAAGTGGCCACTTGTCAAACTGTGTCATCTAGTACACGAAGTCTGCACCAGGGCTGAGGACGACTAAGAGGAAGCAGAGAATATTAACAGACTCTGCAAAGGCTGAAGGGGAACATTTCTGAGCCCTGCCCACAAAGCAGGCAGAGATAAATGCTGCCCCCTGGGTGCGTGTCCTATTATCCGAGGCCCCTCTGGCACATCACCCAGCTCTGCCCTCATACACCACGGCACAAAGCAATCAAGAACGAGCCTGGAGATTCATCATCTTCCCGTGTCCACAAGGATCCTTCCTGTCTGCAGAGGCTGTTTGTGGTCAGGGCCACCATCAGATGGATCAGTATTATCTGCCTATCAGGAGACCAGCATGTGCCTCTGTGCTCCTGAGCTGACCCCGAGGAAGGTCAACCAGGGAGGCCTCTTAAAGAGGTGCTCTTCAAGAGCTTTACAAAGAGTGTCCCTGGAACCCTGTGTTCCGGCCACAGTGGTGCTTGGTCCTGGAGCTGACAAGGACCTGGATGCCAAGTCCAAACCACATCTGACTTTTAAGCCTGGTCATCAGGATGCTCTGGAGCTAGAGCCTTATGACATGATCCGTTTTCTGCCAGGGCCAAGCCCCAGCATGTGGCCAGCGTGTGGAGATGGGCAGAGGCTTCCCTCTGGGGAAACACTTTTCCCAGCAAGGAAAGGTGGCCTACAGAGCTCGCCTCTCAGGGTGGCCTGCGACCCTGGGCTGGCCAGGACACTCACCAGGTAGATGTGGTAGGCGTCCACTCGGCGCAGGGGACCCCAGCACAGGTCAGTGTCATTGTACTTGGCGTCTGTCTCCACACCGCAGGAGTCATTGTCAGTGGTGCTGCTGATGAAGAGCGGTGACAGGCTTGGGATCAGGGTGGCCCTGCTCGGCTGGCAAAGACAGAGCCACCCCTCCACAATATGACTCCCCTAAACCATCTTTTAGGACCTGCCCCTCTTGTTCCTTATGACTCAGGAGCCCTCAGTGGGAGTCCAAGCCATCTTTCCTGGGGCAGGAAAGGGGACAGCAATGCAGGACATGTCTCCTAAGCTCAGAGGACACAGCTGGCCATGCTGTGTGTAGAAAAGGGCCCTGGACATCCACTTTCCTTGGGGACCAGGGACCTGCTTGGTGTGGGGCTTCTATGCTGGACACTTTGCCTGACTGGCTGAGGCGGCCCACTGGCTACAGCCAGCATGAGGGGCAGGGGATACTCACCAGGTCACCTGCATGAGAGAGAAGGGCACGGCTGAAGCATAGATGGCCAGGTCCCCATACAGGTAAATGATGATGCAGAAGTAGAACAAGTTGACGCCCACTGAAAGCAACAAAGCCATGGTCAGGGAGCTGGAGAGACACTGTACTCTTCTCCGACACAGAACCTCCACCTTCTCCATAGCAGTCAGTTCTCTAAGCCATTTATTTTCTACAAAAAGGGGGAAAAGGGCTCCATGGTCATTTCGCATGCTGGTCGGCTACACTGTGACACTGGCAGGAGACACACTGGCTTGGGACCTGCATGTGAGAGGTTGAGAGGCTCAGAGTTCAGAGAGGTTCTGAAGCAAGACAGGTACAAAGTTAGTGTGTGGTATGGTCAGCCCAGGATGAATGGAGGCACCGTCACCCTGGGGACAGGCTGGGTGTGTGGGGTGGGGACGACACCTGATCAGGAGCCTGAATGCCCATGTGTGTTGGGCCAGGGATCCCTCTGCAGCCAGCACAGGGCTCTACGACAAGAAACTGCAAGCAAGAACCAAAGCACAGAGAAGTTGACAGGAAAAAGTTCAGCCTTAAGGCTGAAATCAGCAGTGAAAAAGCCCTTCAATTCCAAAGACCCAGTGCCTCCTTCCAGATCTGATGACCTTGCATCTGCTGGCCCAGGGTGGCCTGGCGTGCTGGGGAGGGACAGTTCTCACAAGAGGCTCCTTTTCCTTACGAGCAGTGCCGGCAAGGGACAGTGCTAACTCCAGGAGTGTGTGCTACAGGTCCATCCACAGAGAACTAGGGGTGGGGATGTAGGACTCACGTCCCAATTCCATCAGACTTACATTCCAACCCTGGCAAGTGCCTGAACATCTCCCACGGTGAGTGTCCCACCATGCTTGGCTATCTTCTACAGGGGATTCTAGCTAGGAAGCCCGGGGCGGGCAGAGGCTCTGAAAACAGCAGCGGGGCCGTGCAGCCCAAGGCTACGGCCCCAGACAGCTGGCCTCAGATTCTTGCTCAGACTATTGCTCAAGTTTTTGATGTCACTGGTCTCAAGCTGCCGGCTTCTCTGAGGACAGAAAGAAAAATGAAGTGACAGTTCTCTTCCAATCCTCGTGGCTTACAAGAGCCTGCAGCGTCCCCAGGGGAAAGCCCAGGACATGCTACTCCTGGGGCTGTGTGAGGTCAGCTCTGCTCCTAGGACTCTGGGGGAGAAGACCAGGAAGGCATGATCTTCTAAAGGAGCCACGAGCGCCCGGCGTCTGCTTTCTGAGCACACAGTTGGCATGTCCTTCACTGACATGTCAGAGGGAGCCTTGAGGTCCAAGCTCAGTGGCCCCGGGGCTGCCTATAACTCACGCCCCAGGCTCCGGGGACAGCCGGCTCCAGCCTGCCTTTCTGCTCTCTGTGGGAAGGCATGGTCTCCTCCCCATTCCCTTCTTGCCACCTGCTGACGACTCCACTGTTGGCTGTTTATAAACTGCCACTGGCCCTCCCTGATCAATACAATTTCATTACTAGACACAAAGTGGGAGGATCAATGAACTTCCCGAGAGGACATCAGAGACTCCGCTTGGCATTTCTAATTACAAGACACGAGTGGAGAGCCCAAGGGAGCCTTTTGTGGAAGGCCGCCCCGCCAAAGGTGAAGATGACACTCTGACGATCTGTGAGTCAAGAGCAGAGCAGAGCAGAGGTGACTCTGCACCGCCCTACCTGGGGGGAACATTTGGCAATGTCTGAGGGCGGTTTTGATTGACACAATTAGGAGGTACTACTGACAACTGGAGTCCGGGGTGTTGCTCCACAACACTCAGGACAGGTCCAACGAGAGTTATCTGGCCCAACGTCCACAGTGAGGAGCTTGAGAAGCCCTGCAGGGGACAACAAGGAGACTTCTCTGGGTGTGGGGCTGTCTACACACAAACATGCTGTTTTCTATTAGATTTGAACAAACCAGGAGTCTGGTCCATGGGGCAGGAGCAGAGATAAAACCAACCACCAGCTGGGCACAGTGCGCACGCCTACAATCCCAAGTTACTTGGAAGGCTGAGGCAGGAGGATGGCAAGTAGGAGACCAGCCTCAGCAACTTAGTGAGACCTTGTCTCAAGATCAAATGAAAAAGGCTGGGATGTGGCTCAGTGGTGGAGCACTTGCTCAGCATGCACAGGGCCCTGGGGCCATCCCCAGCCCCACAAACAAACAAAGCAAACCACTGGTTCCTAGAATTCTTACAGAAATCAAGGCAGATTACAGAATATGAAAATGAGAAACGAGGTTTAAAAGATGTTTCTTCTCCCCCCATGTGTGACTTATTTTACAGGTTTGCATTTTGAAGGGTCAGGAAACGCCTCTGCTCACTCAGCGCAGTGGTACAGGGAGCGACAGAAATGCAGCAAAGGAGAAACACAGAAGTGGGCTGAAAACAGGGTCTTTGTTGTTGTTGTGTTTTTTTTGTTACTAGGGATTGAACCCAGGGGCACTTAACCACTGAGCCACATCCCCAGCCCTTTCTATATTTTTATTTAGAGACAGGGTCTCACCAAGTTGCTTAGGGCCGTGCTAAGTTGCTGAGGCTGGATTTGATCTTCTTGCTTTAGCCTCCTAAGCTTCTGGGATTACAGGTGTGAGCCACCACGTCCAGCTAAGAAGCTAGTTTTGATGAATTCTGGAAATCCTCTGAGGCTTGTCCAGGAGGGAGAGTGGAACTAGACCTTGGGCAACCTGTGCCAACAATCACCTCGTCTGGACCAGCCACCAAATCGCACCACCAATGACAGACTGAGTGCTTAGTGTCCTGAGGGCAGGCAAGCAGACACTGGCTTCCACAGTCCCCCAGCTCTGAGTAAAGCAGGGCCACACAAGAACCGGTGGACAACCACTCCACACACAGGCTTTGAAAGAGGGGCACAAGATCTTCCAGGACAGCTGTAAGCGGAAGGATTTATTGAGACTGTGTCTGACTGTCAAGGAAACTAACAGGTTCGGGCATTAAAAACAAAAGTCTTAATAGCTCATTTTCCCAAAGAAGAAGATTAGCCATGGAAGTACATGCCGTTATCACTGGCAGGCCCTGGAGCCCAACACCAGAGCTGGGCGGATCCCTGCAGGTTGTTGCCAACTGCCAGCCAGGAGCAGGCAGGGCCAGAGGGAGAGCCTCGCCTCCTCTCCCCGGGGCTCCAGTGCCCAAACCAGCTCTAGCGTGGGCTCCTGGCGCCCTCTGCTGGCCACTGGGAGGACATGCCCTGGCATGCCTGTGGCAAAGCCTACCACTGTCAGGGGGTGTTGTCTCAGCCAGAACAGGCCAGAGAGCCAAGTCAGAAGCAACTGCTGGGAGAGGTACAAACTGCCAGCCACCTCCATGGCTTCCCCTGTTGGACAGCTGCCCAGGATCCCTGCCTCTACCAGGGTAGCCAGCTCTTTGTTCTTCACACAGAGGGACGGGGCATCCAAGGAAATTTGTGTCCACAGGGCAGGCATCCGGCAGGTGCTCTGACCGCAGGCTGACAACCTTCCCCTCCTCATGGTTTCCCTCATCCCCAGGCGACATGGAACCCTCATTATAAGGCTCAGGCCTGCAGTAAAGGACCACTGGCCCTTTCCCCTCACCCCACCCCCAAATAAGCATTTATTACCTTTATTGAAGAACATGGAGGCCATCTGTCCCATTTCCACCCGGTCTGTGATTTCAAACAGGTTGGGAGATGTGCGTCTCTCTGAGGAGCCAAAAGCACAAGAAGGGTGGTGATTCTTCACCAGAAGCACTGTCGCTGAGTGCCGCAAAGTCCCAGAATAAGGAATCCCCAAGGATCTCGGACTGTGGAGAAAACTTTCCTAAGGTTTCCTTTATTTCCAGTGCCTGGGGCTCAAACCCAGGGCCTTGCATATGTCGGGCAAGCACTCTTCCACGGAGCCCCAGCCCCATGTCTACATTTTACAAGAAAATTCAAGGATGTTCCCTATAGGGGAGAGGGTGAGCAGAGACGAGACTGCGAGACAAGGGTGAGGGTGTTTGTGTGTGTGTGTGTATAGGGGTGAGGTGGGAGGGTGGAGCCAGGACCACATTCACTCAAGCTCTCTCAGTGCGCACAGGGCACAGAACCAGGCATGCGATCATTTCCATAATAGTAGGAGAGTGCACACCTGTAATCCCAGCAACTTGCAAGGCTGAGGCAGGAGGATTGCAAATTTGAGGCCAGCCTGGGAAACTTAGCAGACCCTGCCTCAAAATAAAAATTTAAAGGGCTGGGGATGTAGCTCAATGGTAAAGCACCCTGGTACCACACAACAACAAAAACGGCAGGAGAGGTGGGAAGCTAGACAGAGCCCAGTAACAGGCCAAACACGTTAGTTAGCAAGAGGTGAGCCAGCAGGGCTAGGCCTGTGCCTGGGACCCCAAAACTGCCACCCTCAGGCAGGAAACGCCAAAGGACATCTGCAGGGAGACTCCGTGGGCTCTCACCATGAAGAAAGAAAGGGAGCCCTATCAGCCAGGAGCTTGAGGCCTGTCGGGAGGCCCAAGACTTACGCACTGACAGGATGGGCTGTTTCTCTGCCCGCTCGTAGCTGTCCGGGGTGAGAATGTCACTGTCTGAGGCCGTGGAGGAGTCGTCGTCGTCCTCCTCCTGGGAGGTGGTGGGTGCACGAGGAGAAGAGGAGAAACCAAGGAGAAGGAATGAGCACACGGCTGTACAGAAAGCCTGGGCAGGGGTCATTCCTTTGTTCTCTTTCTAGAAGGTGTCTAATTAGGAAACGCTCAACAGGTGGAGCACATAGCATAGTTCCTGGGGACAGGGCTGAGCGGCTCAGCGTGTGGAGTGAGGGCCAGCGCTGTGAGGCTGAGGGCAGCCCTGCCTGTGTTTTCTGACTGTACGTGGCTGCCACGCTGCAGCTCTGGGGCCTGGGACTAGGTTCCTGGAGCAGCGCTGTGGACAGAGTCCTCACCCATCAAGAGGAAAGCAACGGGTGGCTGAGACTGTCTCTAGGGAACACAACTGAACAGAGGCACCGCCGGGGGACACACACACCTTGTGGGTTTCCATCCTCTTCCAGCGGAGCTGTGCGTTGGCTGCGGCCATGGCCTCCATCACAAAGGTGGTTGTCACAAAGCTGAGGGGGAGGCACGTGTTAATTGCAGAGAGGAGATTGTAGGGGTTTGAAGTGGCGTGACCAACAAGCCCCGCGCTCTCTTCTGAGAACTGTTCCCTAGAGAAGTTCTGAGATGGGCCTTTCCTGGTAAGGAGCGTGTGCACGCTCGAGGCCGCGTGTGCTTGCTTTTCTGTGGCTGCCTTCGTTTAGGATCCACTTCTGACACACAGGATGGGGCTGTGACATAGGCTRATGGGAGGGAAACTGCTCAAGGGAGAGCACGAGCTGGGTGGGGGCGACACGGGTCAACATGGCCCGCACCAACAGGGGCCCTGAGCTGGGAGGAGGCCGATTCACAGGGGGCTTCTGGAAGGACGGCAGGCAGCCCTCACCTCTCCCCGCAGGGCACGGGCAGTGGTCAGCTTCCAACTGCATACACCAGTGCCAAGGGCTGGAGAACGAAGGTGGCTCTGGAACCCGTCCCCCTTTCTCTTTGGCAGTACTTCAGCTTTCAGGACAATGTGCCTAACAGTGAAATAAGTTTCTACTACTGTGGCCCGAACCTCAAGGGAGACAGGGAGGTAGCACAGACACTTGCCAAGAAGTCAGACAAGAGTGGAGAAACCATCTTTTCCTCTCTTCCAGGAGCTCAGAGGTTGGGAGGCCCCAGGATATGGGGCTCCAGGAGCTCAGAGGTTGGGTGGCCCCAGGATATGGGGCACTGCTGATAAAACGTGAGGCATGAGTCCATCCCTGCCCTGAAACATCTTGGGGTGAACACTGGTCTCCCTCTTCCTGAGGTCAGCACGGCTCTGCACCTGTGTCCTCCGGTGCAGATGATGTCAACAGATGCCACGCAGTCCTTCAGTCCAGTGGCTGGTGGAGCACTGGGCCCCACAGCAGTCAAACCCACGCCCCTCCACCTCTGCAGTGGGGGGCATTCGGGCCCATGATTCCCATTCCAATCACCCCAGCACCTCCAAGAAAGGTTTCTCGTGATCTTGCCTAACTGACCATGTTGAGGGCTTAGCTTCTCCCTTCTTTTTGGAAGTAGAGCTAAAATCAATCCTAATTAAGGCATAGAGAGACTTCCCACGGTTGCATTAAGCCAACTCACTGATCATGTTCAAATGGAAATGGGTTTAGCAAGGAGAGGCCATGGCAGCCCCTAGCTAGAGGTCCCCAATAATCACTTCCTCTTCAGATGGCTGCCTGTGCTGAAGGTCCTTTAAAGGTGACGGAGTCATGTAAGGTCAAGGACTTCCAGAGTTCTTRGCAGCTAGAGCTTGAAGTATGTAACAAGCCAACAGCACCCAAGGTTCACCCTAAAGGTCCCCAAAAGAACTGCATAGAAATGGAAGAGCCTGGCTCATTTCTGTCCCTCCAGGCCCTCCCAGCTCTGTCTGCTTCAACTACTTCGCTCTGCTTCACTCTTTCTACGATGCCTACTTCYTTCTCCTTCAAACTTCTGCATCCGTGCCGCTCTGTGACCCCCRGGCCTGGCAGTCACCTCACCTCCTCAACCCCTCGCCACACTGTGCTTTTCCTTGTCTGCCACTCATCACCTGGTCACTCTGCAATTCACTCGTCCACCTCCTTCGCCCTCACTGCCCACAGGGCACAGCCACGTGGGCCGTGTTCTGTTCAGTGGGTGCCACAAACACGGACAGTGCCACAACCCGCAGACTGTGGTGCTTAGACAATAAGTGCCACAACCTGTGGGTTCTTTCCAGAATGTCGCTGGATTCCAGTCCCCTCTCTGGCGCAGAGACGGGAGGAGCTCCTGGGGAGCTCTGGGTCACACTCCACCTCTGGCCTGTGGACTCCTGCCCAGCAGCTGCTGGGTCCCACACAACCAGTGCCCTGAAGGTGGGGGCGGGGGTGGACCACGGGGCACACAGGCAGGTGGCTCCACTGTGGCCCGTGTGTTGGTGTACTGGGCCTTCACTTTCCTGGTGGATTGTATCAAGTAGGTTCTAGACCCCACGCTCCCTTCCCAGATCACCCTCTTTTTCTGGGGGGGTGTTGTTTTCTGAGTGCCCTGACGGGGGTCACGGTACTGAAGTAGGGGGCAGAGAGGTGAGTCACAGGAAGAGGACCTGCACCACACGAACCTTCAGGACCTCCCGGGGCTTCGTCGTGGCTCGACTCACCTCACAGGGTGCTCCGGGAGGCCTCTGTCCACTCCCCTCTCTGGTCCTGCTCAGGACTCGCATGCCTAATGCATGCAGTCAGTCACCTTCCCACTCAGGCCCCGCTAATGAAGAGACATAGGGACTGCAGGGCGACTCCCCCAGCTCCAGCCCCAGCCTTCCGCTGCCCCTTACCTCATGAAGCCCAGGAACACCAGCAGGACGAGGCTGACCAGCCATCCGGCGGTGGCAAAGGCCTTGGGCATGGTGAGCGCCCCTGTGCCCACGATGAGGTTGAACATGTACACCAGCCCGACCTGGAACCCAAGGAGCGACACTCAAGCCCGGGAATGGTTAGTCTCACCCCTCAACAGCTCCCGAGGGCTGCCCTGGGTGACAACACCGCCATGGAGACCTTCCCAGAGCCCCAAGGACAGGGAGGCAGAGGACACCTGGGTCCCAGGGAGCAGAGCTCTGCATCCAGGTGCTGGGGCCCTAACACGCAGACGACTAAGGGCCACAATCTGTGGGTTCTTTCCAGAATGTCTCTGGATTCCAGTCCCCTCTCTGCTGTCCTCATGGCCACCCCCTCAGCACTGCAAACCATTCAGAGCTGTGTCACAGATGCCAGGCTCTGAGGACAGGTGGGGCRCTCGGCACAGCATGGACACGGAATGCTGACCTCCAAGAAACTTCTCCAAACTGCTGGCCCATGACTCTGTCCTGTGCCAGTCCTTGCCACTGTCCTTGGGACATCGACATTCACCTTCCCTTACTCTACCCCCACACCTCCGCTCCGACTTCAGGGTTAAAAACAGTCAAGGCACGATTCACAGGCCACAAAACCCACCCTCTAAAGCACAGCACAGGGGCTTCAGGAACTCAGGGTTGCTCTCCCACACCTCCCCTCAGGGCGACTCCAGGTTTCACACTTAACTCTAACTCGGCCCCTGACTCTAGTTCAGTTAGTCACACCATTTCTTCTCCCAAGATCTCAGCTGGAAAATTCCTTTCTGAGAACCCAGCTCTCCCAGGGTGCTTTCCACCCCCTGCTGCCTCTGCCCTCCAGTCCACCCCACCTGGGCATCACCCCCCGCCCTGCGCACGGTCAGCTGGTTCCACAGAGCACACGATGCCCCAGCTTCTCGGGCCTTCCCCTCCGGGGTCTCGCCTGTGCCAAGGCCACACCTGCTCTTCTCCTCCCTGAGCCAAACTGCCAGAGCTTCCTGGAGATGTTTCCTTTGAATCATTGGATTGTCCCACAGCAAATGAGCGGCCCCTTCACCTGGGGTCTGGCGACATCCGTTTCTTTCTCAACATGGGTTTCTGGGTGTTCCCCATAGTAACTGCCCCCAAGCTCAACGTTTAAGCTCCCAGACCCCTGGMCCCATCACTCTCAGATGAGGGCTCCATCAGCTACTCCGTGGAGGTGACTGAAGTCACCTGGTGATGCAGGCTGCCAAAGCCTCTCTCCCAGTTCAAAAGATTAGTGTCTATCCCCTTCCTATCTGTMCCCACCAACCCCCATACTGGGGCTGGAACTCAGGGGCACTGTACCACCGACCTATATCCCCAGACTCCCCTACCCCTTTTTATTTTCAGGCAGGGTCTCACTAAGTTGCTGAGGCTGGCCTCAAATTTGTGATTCTCTTGCCTCGTCTCTCAGCCTCCTGTCTCTGGGATTATAGGTGTGTGCCACTGTGCTTGGCTCCTGCTGCCTTTAGGAACACATGCCATTACTCCTTGATGAGGCCAAGCTGGCACCTGAACCTCTGGCCTCATTCCAGCCTGGAACCCTCTCTTCCCACCAGCTCTTCCGTTCTGCCTACAAACTTACTTGACACCTTTAAAATGTGACTCTGACTTTGCTAATGCAAACTTTGGGGAAAGGCGGGCTCTCTCCTGTCCTTGGTAAACGAGCTTCCTTCTCCAGGACTCCAGAAACTTCTCTCTCTCTCTTTTCTTTTTTTTGGTGTTACTGGGGGCCGAGCCCAGGGGCGCTTCACCATGAACTACATCTCCAGCCCTTTTTACTCTGAGACAGGGTATCGCTGAGTTGCCCAGGTTGGCTCCAAACTTGCAATCCTCCTGCCTCAGCCTCTCAACTACCTGAGATTCCAGCGTATGCCACCATGCCTGACCTTGAAACTGAACCTTGGCTATCACCAAGGACCCGCTGGCCTTCCTGCTGCCACACTGGCTGTTTCTTCTCCTCTCTGCACCTCTTCCTCAATAACTCAGTCCACCTGCCTGGCTTATCTCGTGGCTGGACAGAAGACTGTTCCTGTGGTCTCTGTCTTTCTTCAGAGCTCCAGTTCAGCTGCTGCCAGGCACCTCCACCTGGACATCCCGGAGTGGCCTGGCCTCCTTCCTTCTCCTCATGTCCTGGTGCTACTGATTTTGTTCCTGAAGAGTGTTTTGTGGCTCCCTCTAGCTCAGCCCTTCACAACGGCCCCTCGTTGATCTTCCATGGCTTCACCACCTGTTTTGGTGCCTTTAAAAAGACAAACCCCTCCTCTCTGGGAAGCCCTGCCCACCTCTCATTTTCACTTCCCACTCTTTGAAAGATGAACAACAAMAAAAAAAAAAGAAAGCAAAAACCGACAGGGATTGTTAACTACTACCTTAGGACCCTTGGCTCAGGGGGAAGGGTTAGAGGAGGCCAGGCTTTCCAGGTGTCGAGTGGACACCTGAGTGCTGGACAGGTGGGAGGACGTCTCGCTGAGAGCACAGAGCTCCGCCCACAGTGCATTTTTCCTTGGCACAGGGCGCCATGCTCTCTTGGGCCTCCTCCCCCTGCCCTTCTGTTCAGCCCCTGGGGCCCATTCAAATGCTACTTACACCTCCAAGTCCTTCCCAGGCTCCTAAGCTCATCTTGCTTCCCACGTTTGCATCCCTGGAGCATAAGCCTTCTTACACCTGGTCCTGGCTTTCAGGTGCGGTGCATTTACCTCTTCCCCGCTACTAAACCCAAGGCCTGMGTGGCAGCAGGCTGTGCTCACTTCTCCACATTCTCAGGGTGGCTGAAAAGGCCTGGAGGGGAGAGCTCAGCTGGTTTTCACGGGACCCTGCTCAAGGTATCTTGCAGGTCTTTGCTGGCCCTCAGGATGGCAAGTTCCAGCTTCTCACAAGCAACTATGAATGTCTATAATGAGCTAACTTTACGACTAAACAAGGCACACACGGAGCTAYGTCCTCAGGAGGGGAAGAAAACAAACTGTGGTCACTGCTTGAGAGAAGCTTAAAGAAAAGAATCAAGGGGTTGTGACAAGGAATAACGGGAAAGCTCTGGAAACAGAGTGCTCAAGGAAACCTCTGCGATGACATTTAAGGGGGGGGCAGGAAGGATGAGATGGCACCACCCAGACGGCCTCCAGGTACAACAACCTAAGGTGGGAAAGAAGTGGGGATGTTCCAGAAGCTTCCAGGAGGCCGGGCTGAGGCACCGTGAGCCAGGCAGAGGAGGGCCGGGGATGCAGGAGTCAGACTGAGCAGCCCTTTACAGGAGATGAGGGTTCCATGTTTCGGAGAGTTCAAGGCAGGACACCAATAGAACAGATCCCAGTGGCCACCGAGCACCTGAACCCTGCGGCTCTGCTTTCCGCTCAGTAGTTCTCTCAGCAGCAGCACTACTAGGGGACATCAGCCTCATTTCTTTGTGGGAAATGGTCCTGATGATGAAAATAAAGAGAGGGCAAGGGGCTTAACAAAGACACTTAGGCAAAAATCTTACGGGGAAATTAAATAGTACAAAAAGCATCTCTAAATTCCGGAATCTCTGAAGGTCTTGGCATGGAAAAGTTCAAAGGCCTATTATAGGTCAGGGTTTCTCAGCCTGGGCACTGTTGATATTTGGGTTCAAGATCATTCTTTGTGGTGGGGGCCTGTCCTGCATTGTAGGGTGTTTAGCAACATCCCTGGCCTCTGCCCGCTAGTTGCCAGTGAACTGCTCCCTCTGTCTTGAAAATCAAAGTGTCTCCAGAYGTTGAATGTCCTCTGGGGTCAAGATCACCACCACCTGAAAACCACTCCTTTAAAACAGGCATGAAGACTCAGGTGTGTGCCCAACACAGACTTCAAATAAACCTCAGTGAAAAGAAGCTTTAACACTTTATAAGCAGTTGATTAGGGATAAACCATCTGTTGTTAGGCAGAAACGGGCAGTCATGTTTGTCTTGCTTTGTTGCTATTTTCGAGTTCTAAAGAAACCACTGTGTGCTTCACAGGGAACTTCTTCAATTGGAGGGCCAAAGCAGTCCTGGTCAGCATTAACTCCGAGCTAAGCCACAGGCCAGGTCAAGAGGACTTGTGGGGAAGAAGGAAGAGGAAGGAGACCTTCTCTTCTGCTGGTCATGTGACAGTTCTGTGGGGCCACTTCCTGGGAAGAGTGGCAGGAAGCAGAGGAATAAGGTCCTACACAGTCCCCAAGGACGAGATTGTTCTGGATGAACTGGAGAAGGCGCAGCCCCTGGTCCCTGGAGTCTTCAGCAGGAACCAGCCACCAGAGGCATCCTCAGCAGCTACCCTTCTCTCAGGCATGATCCACCTCATCCTGTGTTCTGATCTCATAACTACCACTTCGTCCTCAGCCATTCCTGGTCCCCCCAAATAGGGAAACTGGCACGTCTGTCCTGAGATCACTCATGGCGACATGTACAAGGCTGAATCCTGTTCTTGGGTCCAGCACTGTCCTTGAGAAAGTGTGGCATCTGAGCCTCCTGAGAAGCTTGACTTTGTCATAAACATTTTAAGCAGAATAAGTCAAGCTAAAGAAAACTATCTACCTCTGAAGGAAAAAGAACTCACAATGGAGTGAGGCAATACAGAACTAAGGAGAGGCTGTGTCTTGAMATGACCATGGGCTGTTTTGTACATTAATGAACCACGTGTCCAGTACCTTGGTCTCCTAAGGAAGCCAGAGCAGGGTTTTGCCCACCCTGTGCTGAGCTGGGGATTGCAGGGGTTTAGAGCAGCTTAGGTAGGAAAGTCAGTTCTATAGCTTATTTAGGTTCTACTGGTCTCACAGGGGATCAAGAATCATTCTCCAAGTGAGATGAAGGAAGAAAGCCTTCGGAAGGCATCTTCTCCCTCAAAACCCTGACCACTGCTGCCTGGTTACCACCACCTCACTCTGATCACTGCCCAGCTTTTCCTGACCTCTCTCTTCACTTGGAGGATAAAATAATACAACATTTATTTGTGACAACTGCCCAGAGTTGGCCCTCAAAAACTGAGCAAAATAAAACCCATGGGAAATGAAAGAAAAAAAACAACAGAGCCCCCTGAAGTTTGCAGGCCTAACTCTCCCATCTCCTGCAGGGACACGATGACAAGTGAGATGAGCACGAGAACAACTGGAGATACAAGAAATAGGGGCACATCACAGTGTCTTCCTCCCAGAACTCACAGAAATGACTCATTTCTTCACCTGTAAGTTCATAGACATTGTAAGAAAAAGCAGGGACTGTGGTGACCTTCAGGGATAGCATGGACATTTCATTGCTGATATAGGAAAATGGGAGTCTTTACATGATTCCACAAATGAGAGGGGCACTATTCATTCTATTCCAGGGTTCCCAAAAGACTTCCCCAGGTAAATTATGGAAGTGAGGAGGCTCTTTCATTGCTACCTGAGAATGGCACAGATGCAACAGGAAGACCTTGGAGGGAGTAAAGTTTCTTCTGCCTGTGGTCAGAGATGCTTCCTTACCCTATCACACCATGAGGCTAGTGTCTGTGACCTTAGCAGAAACAGAGGATGGATCCCCAGGCAAGAAAGGTGGGTGCAAAGCAGCTGTGTAAGGCAGGTAAGCTGTAGAAGGAAAGCTCTGGCTGCTTAGGGCAGTGCTACTTTTCCCTGGGATACTTAATAGCAACATGAGTCAATTGTCTGATTATTCAAATGATTCTCTCTGAGCTCCAGGCCAAGAGGGCTCTGTGATGTAATGACCATGATCAATTGGATAGTACATTAAAGAAGATAAACTGAGTGTATGTGGGGGCGGGAGTAGTGGTGGTGGTGGAATGAGGGAGCAACACAGTCTCAGGACAGAGAGAAATCAATCATTCAATTGTCCTAATTGCAGACTCGACCAGGCTACAAATGGAAGACTTTGCATCTGGCTGCCTCTTTCGCCATCCAAGACCATAAAAGTTGTGCAATTTAAAATTCATCTAAAGACCAAAGTGGTTTCAACCTGCTGAGATGAGTAACACCCAAAGTCAACAACTGTCAATCATGGTCCACCCGAAGCATAGCACGGAATACAAGTGGTGGTAGCCCTGAGATAAATATTACAGAGTTAGCAAGTTGATTTTGTTCAGCTTGACACTTTCTGAGAAGCATCTAAAAGGGAATGACCATGACTCATATTCTGAGACATGACAGCAGCAATGTGGCTCCTGCTACATCAAGTTCCCATTGTATTTTCACCAGGCTCTACTTAAACCAGGGCAATCAGGAGTACAGTTCACAGGAAGCAGTGGGCTTCTTTAGAGGCCAGGAGTACTGTGGTGAGCAAAACAGATTCTAAAGGTAAAACTCACGTAGGGAGAATAGAGCTCCCCGGTCTCTGTGATTTCACCGGCCATCTCCAAAAAACGTTAGGAAGGGTGGGCAGTAGAGTTTCCTTCAGCGCAGGGCAGCAGCTGTTGCAGCTCCCTAAGACAAAAGAGTACACTTCAGCTTTCTGATGGGCTGACACAGGGGTGGGGTAAAGTTTGCTACTGCTCCCTCCCCACCTCTTGTCCTTTTATTATTAACACTTATCTAAGACTTAAGTATCTGTCACAAGACTCATCCCGGAAGGAAGGGTTCCCCTGGTCAGAGAAAATCTAGGTAGTCGCTTCTCAGGGGACTACTTGCTGCTCAGGGGACTACTCTATGCATGGACATTGCTTGGACTTCACTGATTTACGGGGCCTTCGAAGCCACTGAGTCTCACCCACCAACAGAGTTCTTTACACCCTCAGAGGTGCCCACTTAATTCCCGAACTGTGTGAGCTCACTACCACCCAGGGAAGCCCACAGAACTGTTTGCTACCTTCGCCTATGGCTGGGAGCTGGAGCTTTCCCAGATGGTCCGTCCAACATAACTCCCTGTCCCCATGTCTCTCTTGCTGATCTCTCTCTCTTTTTTTTTAAGCGGGGCCGCCACTCCCCGTCCCCCCAACCAGCCATTCCTACCCTGCTTTAGGGTTCCCCATCCTCAAGTGCCCCTCTCTGAGCCTCTCCTTCGCCTTCCCTGCTGGAGGAGCCCCAAGTCTAACGCCCCCTCCATCCCATCACACCTTCTCCCCCGGTACGACACCTGCCGCACAGCTTGTTCGGGGCGGGCGCGGGAGCCGCCTCCGGCCCCGGTGCGGCTGCCAGCGCCAGCTGTCCCGCACCAGTGCCCACAACGCGCATGCGCCGGCGCTCGAACCCACCTTCCTGGCGCGCGCTTCGGGCGGGGCGCAGAGCGCTGATTGGGCGCCTCGCGGAGCCGTGGCCGGAATTGGCCCTRGCGGCTGCCGTCTGCGTGGCGGAAGTGAGAAGTGCGCTTCGCCACGCATGCGGGGTGACGGCTGCGGGCCGGGCGGGGAAGCGTGGCCAGTTGGGAGAGGCAGATTACCGGTGCTGCTGGGGACGCTTTCGTCGTCGGGGAATGGGTGTGAGCTTGGCAGTTCCGGTCCCAGGTGGCTGGAGAATCGAAGAGAGGAGCCTGTAGCGCCACACAAAGGGGAGGGGCCTGAAACTAAAGTGGGCTGGGAGGGCGGGCTGGGGGCGGGGAAGAGGGAGGGTTGGAGCCCCTTGGCTTGCACCCGAGGGAGGAGATGGGAGTTGGTTGAAGGAAAGGCTGGAATTTGATTCTGGGCTGGAGTCCCTGACTGGGGCAGGTAATGGGAGCATTGAGGATGAATCTGGATTTGGTCCTTGCGTTTGATGGATCGACGTTCTGGGAGGTAGACGGAAGGGACCGGCAGGAATGGCAGACCATGCTTGGCCCCTGAGATGCGAGCCAAAGGTTGTTTAATTCTTAACCAAATCAGTTCTCTTTCTTGCAAGAGGTTTGAGAGTAGGTGTTCTTTGACGTGTTTGGAAGGAAAGGACAGGAGGCCCTTTTGTCAGTTTAGCCCCACTCCAGTAGGAGAGATTTGGCTCACACCGTAAGTGGGAAAAAAACTCCGGGTTCTTAAGTGTTTGCTGTCCCCTACCTGCAGGCTGCTGCCATGAGGTTGAATCAGAACACCTTGTTGCTGGGGAAGAAGGTGGTCCTGGTACCCTACACTTCAGAACACGTGCCTAGGTAACCATGCACCTTACCTGGAGTGCAGTTTAGCCCCTAGGAGGGTTAAGTAAACAAAGTTTCCTTGACACAGCAAGGAGGCCTTCCTTAGCCCCAATCCCTCGAGCTGTAGCTCCTGGGAAGACATGTTGGTTGTGAGAAATAATTACATATAGGAAAAAAAGCTCAAGTGGAGGACAGTGATTACCTGAAAGAAGTTGCCCATTCTCCTGTTTTTCTCATGTGTGTAAGAAAGAAAAATTGTTGTTTCATCCATTTGTAAATCAGTGATATTCCATGGTGTCTGTGGATATGCTCAGTTCTTGGATACTTAACATATGCTTGTTCTAGAACACTCAGCTGATTGATTATTTCCATTTCTTGAAAAGCCAGTGTGGACTCTTATGGGGAGCATTTGGCAAATGTCTAGTAGATTGGGAAAGTGGTGGTATAGGGGGGTGTCCTCTACTTGGAGTTTTCCTTTTGGGGGGTCCCTGGTGCCTTGTTTTTATAAGGGTCCATCTGCCCTTTTTTTGCTGAGGTCAGTTTGCCATATACTTCCCCTTAGGAATTTGAGGAATGTTTGGTTTCAAACTGCTCCTCCGCAAAGATCCCTCAGCCAGGATGTGAAGGTGGACAGATAGAACTTTTCCCTCTTACTGTTCTCTTGTAAGACTGGACTGCCTTGGGGCTTGTGTCCATTGCCTTCATAACTCTTGGGTCTTGTGTGAGCCCTCTTTTAGCCCTGAGGGGCCCTGCTCCCTACCATCTACTTTTTTTTTTTTTTTATTGGTCGTTCATAACATTACATAGTTCTTAATACATCATATTACACGGTTGATTCACGTGGATTATGAACTCCCGCTTTTACCCC